TAACATATGGAAACACAAAAGATCCAGAATAGCCCAAACAATCTTGAAAACACAGAACTAAGTTGGAGAACTCTCACTGCCAGTTACAAAACTTACTACACAAAGCTACAGTGTGACGGCAACGTGGTACTGGCATAAAGATAGACATATAGGTCAGCCTAAAAGAATTAAGACTTCAAAAAATATACCTATGGTCAACTGATTTTTTACAGGGGTAGCAACAAATGGTGCTCGGACAACAAATATCCATATTTGAGAGAAAGGAGCTGTACCCCTACCTTACACCATATACAAAAATTAACTCAAATGGATTATCAAAACTTAGAAGAAAACGGGGTAAATCTTCATAAACTTAAATTTGGCAACTGTTTCTTAGATATGACATCAAAAACATAAGCAACAAAAAAATAACATCAAAATTAAAACTTTTGTGCTGCAAAATGATACCACTGATGAGTGAAAATGGGCTTAGTCTCACTATTTTCAAACTCTTTTTTCTCATTACTTGGTCTTATAGAGAACAATGGCTAGTTCTAATTTATTTTTGTTTTCTTACGTTTTCTTGTTCTTACTATTCAGCAACAAATTGAATCAACAATCAATTCCCATTTTTCATAAAAAAGAGGAATACTTCCCTTCTGAATCCAATGTAAGGCTTCAATAATAGTACTGGCTAAGGGTTGTGACATGTCTCATTCAAAGACATTCAGGTTCTTATTACAAATGAAAAGTAGAAGCCTTACAAAAGCAAAAACTGAGGGCTAGGAGATAGCTTTGGGGAAATATCCTAAAGTGTTTTGTTTTGTTTTTTCTTGATTCTAAAGAGAGAGGAAGAGGGATAAAGGAACATTGATCGGTTGCTTCCCACACATAATATCCTGAGTTTTTTAGGTCAAAGTAATATTTGATAGTTTATATAAATTCGGATGTTATTCAAAATTAAGACAAAATTTCAACACTTTTAACAAATCTCCACTATCCTCACCTAAGTAGTCTTATAGTCAGGGTATAAATTCCAGCTTGGAAAAAACTACTGGGCATCTGTATGTACCACTAAAATTCTTATTCAGTTTAGTTACACAAGTATTGAGGATCTGTTCTGACTGGTGACCAAGGGGGAAAAAATCCAAAATTGAGTAGAATGGTCCTAAGGCTTCAACAATTTCTGAATAATTAATAAAAAAAATTTGGAGCCCTGGCCAGTGTTGCTCAGTGGTTAGAGTGCAGGGCCATCCACCAAAAAAGGCCAAGGGTTCAATTCCCGGTCAAGGGCATGTACCTAGGTGCAGGTTGGATCCCCAGCCCAGTAGGGGCACATTTGGGAGGCAACCAATTGATGTCTCTCTCACATGGATGTTTCTCTCTCCTCCCCTTAAAAATCGATGGAAAAGTATTCTCAGGTGAGGATTAACAAAAAATAAAAATAGTAACTTGGAGCCCTCTTCTCATCACATAATCCTACTCACGATTCAATGCACAAAATTTCTAATAAATATACAACCTTAAAGATGGGTATAACCAAAACAAGTTTTCTAATGTAAAGGCCAGTAGCTGACAGACGGTAAGGTCAAAATTATGTATTCCCTTCTTCCCTATCTTTTATACATGATGAGTGTGGGAGGAAGAATGAAATTGGACAAAGTTTAAATACAGGCAAAAAAATAATAAATTTAAATATTTTCTTACACACCACTTATATAAATCAGAAACCATTATGTAAACATGATTTAAATATTAGGGTGATTTTTAAATATTTAAAATCCTTATTTAGGGCTAATTGTATTTAGCTCCTTAGCCAGTGAAATATATACATTCATGTTTTAATGTAGTAGGCCCTCCATTATCTGTGGATTCTGCATGCATGGGCTAACTGCATTAAAAATATTTGGAAAGTTTTTCTGTTGCTGATGTTGTGCTATGCAGTTATAGGCCTAGATGGTTGTGTATACTAAGTATGTACCA